GGTACAGCGCCACCTGTTGCGGGCTCAGGCCATGCTTCGCCAGAATGGGCTGCAGCGCCTCCTGCAGCCGCTTGGTGGGCTTGGCGGAGATCCGCACCACGCGCTCCAGAGCCACCAACTCGACCCTGCACGGGACCCTCGCGCTGCGGCAAGGCAGGAGAGCGGGCCCGCCTCTCCCCCAGCCCCCCAGGGACAGGTCCAAGAGAGGGCGGAGCCTGAACTGGGAGGGGGTGGGACAACTTGGGGGTGGGCCCTTAGCCCCGGGGACGCAGTTAGCACCAGGGGCGGGACCTGAGAGGGAGAACAATAGCCTGAACTGGGACCCAAACAAGTGTTGGAACCCAGGACCCAAGCCTGGGAAGAGGGGCACTCACTCGAAGGTGATCCTGTTCTCCAGCCGCACTTCCTGGTCCGCCAGCACGGTGCAGTCCTGATCCAGGACCAGGGCCTTCTGCAGATGCCAGGCAGGCTCAGAGTCCCTCCCTCCCCAGCCCCAACCATCCCCACGGTCCGAGGGAACCACCTCACTTCCTCCGACAGCCCCCACTGGGGCCCCTAAGGGTCAGAGGGAAGGGCCAATGGGCTGGTGAGCCACAGAGATGTGGATGGAGTAAGACTCCTGGCTGGAGTGGGAGCCTAATATGGCCAAGGCCAGGGAGAAGGGTGGCAAGAAGGTTGGACAGCTTTGGAAAAGAAACGGAGTTACAGGAAGCATGGGAGTGGGGTGAGCACGGAATGGTAATGAGGCTGCTTGGATAAGGAGCAGGCCTAGGTCCTGGATCATGGGGCCGCCTCTTCCCAGGCCAGGCCAGGCCAGGCCAGGACCTGCCTCCTGGACAGCTGCCCCCTTGTCTCTCAGGCATGTGAAACCCAACCAGACCAGCTGGATGCATTTCCTTCCTCACCACCCACCTTTGATCAGCTACCCGGGCCTTGCCCCTTTTTTGACACTTGTCCACTTCTCTCCATCCCCACTTACTACTTGTCTCCTCACTGCAACAAGAACCCTTCCCCCAAGACTGCTGTGAGGCCAGAAGGAGGTAAACTATCTGGCACAGTACCTGGCACACGTAGGTATATGAACAGTAGGTGTAGTCTCCTGTCCCTATAGGCCCCACTGTCTGCACTACCCAAGGCAGGGAGTCAGCCTCTTCCAGGGATAGGCCTATGTTGTGCTGCAGGGACAGGTGGAGTGTGGGTGGGAAGTTATATTCAGCAGTCATGAATGCCCATCTGGGCTTCAGAGGCTGCATGGGTGGCCTGAGTGGGCAGAGCTCCTCCCACTGCTGCCCTCCCAGTCCCACTCTCCAGGCCCCGGAACTTGCCCTGCACTTCTTACCCACATCCAGGGCTTCATTCAAGATGTTCCCTCTGCCTAGAATGTCCTCTTCCAACAGCTCTGCCAGGCAAACTCCTCCCCGTCCTCATTCTCCCCTCATCAACAGCAGCCTCTTCCACGAAGCCTTCGTGGAACCAGCCAGAAAAGCCTACCTTCCCCCAGAAACTCTCTGAAGCTTCAGTTCCTCTTCCCTGATCACATCCTGCCTGGCTCATCTCCACCTTGGTGGGGATCCCCACCACGGATGTGGACCTGGAGGGCAGAGCTCAGGCTTGGGTCCCTCTGCACACCCTTTTTCTTAGATTCCTCTTTAAAGCTTAATGCTTGTACCTCAAGAAATTTTTTTCATGGGCTAGGTGCGTTTGGGTGCCCCTGACAGCCATTTCAAAGATGGCCAGTAGGAACTCTGGGAGTGATGGGGGAAACCCAGCTCTGGCAGTGGTTCTCCCCCACTCTACCTCCCCAGAGCATCACAGTGAAGATGATGGGTGAAGCTGGAAGCTGGGAGGGGGTAGGGTGGGGATGGGACGTTCATGGAACGAGAGTGGAGGCCTGAGTTTGAGGAGTTGTTGCTGGGTTGCTTTGAAGCTGGGCATGGGGGGAGGGGCAGGGTTTTGTTGGGGACTGGAATTAGGAAGGGGGTGAGAATAGGAATGGAATTGGGGTTGAAGTCATAGCTGAACAGAGACAGGAATGGGGTTGGGGTCAGGATCAGGAAGAGAGTGAGAGCTGGGGACCAGGCCAGATTCACACCTGCTCATTGCCGACCAGGTAGACCTTGATGTCGGGTAGAGAGAGGCCTCGTTTCTCACAGATGCCTGCCAGCATGGCCCGGATGGTGAGGCCAGATCGCGCCAGGGCCAAGGAGGCTGTGCCATCGGGCAAGTACACACAGCAATACTTCCCTGGCCGGCTTTCGCTCTCACCTTCTGTGCTCCCAAGGCTCTTCCGGTGGCTCTGATTTGGGGCAGGAGTAGAGGGAAGGTCATGTGTACACATTCAGGGACATGCAGAGAGGCACACAGACAGGTAAGCTCACTGGGGCACACACACGCACACACACACCTAAGGGCACACTCTTCGGCAGGCAAAGATACTCCTCCTACAACAACATATATGCTCACCCAGACATAGGACCACCCAGAGACAGGTCCTCCCCCTGACCCACATACACCTGCTGGGTACACCTGGGCACACACACAAACAGAATGTACACTCATGCCATGCATGGGGCCCAAGGTGGTGAGGACAGGAAGAAAGTAAGGAATATGAGGGGTTGGCAGCAGGGAGATGGAAGCGGGGACCATGACTAGGAACGATGGCGGCCCCACAAAGGTGCATGAGTAGTGGCCCTAGCCTGCACCTCATCTCCCCCAGCAGTCTGCTCACCTCAGATTTGCTGTTGACAAAGGCCAGGAAGCCGAGGTCCAGACTGGCGGACGAGTTGAGGGAGCCCTGGGACTCTCTGCGCAAGGCCGAGTTTGGGGCCCCGGCTCCCAGTTCTAGGGGAGAGGGAGCAGTGATCAGAACAGCCCTTCCCCCGCCCCCGACACACCCCCTTCTCCACAACCTGGTGGACCCCGCTGGAGCCCTCCCGCGGGGGTCTAACGCGGCTTGGGACCATGGAAGTGTTGCTACTGAGGGGGCTTCCCAAACTTCTGCTCTAATCTAGAAACCAAACCACCGGGGAAACGCGGTGGTCACAGAGACCTCTATTTCGGTTTTCAGATTTACAGACTGTCTATGCGACAAGTAGGAGGAAGGGGGGATTCTCAAAGCTTGCCCAAACTCCCACCCCGACTCTTCTCTGTGGCCTCCGACCCTCACCCCTGCGGAAAGACTTGCGGAGCGGGCGGCCCCCGGAGCCCTCAGCAGACGGAAGCTGCCCCAACTCCTCCACGCCCAGCGGCAGCGACTTCCCGGGCTTCAGCTTCGGCTTCTGCGGGTACAGGAAAGGCGCTGGCACCGGGCTGGACTCCAGCCCACGTGCAGACCAGGGGCACAGTCCTACAGATCTGCACCCGGCCCCCTGCTTCCCACAGCCCCTAGTCCGCACCTTCCTCGTGGAGTCAGGGCTGCCCGGGCTGGAGGAGCCAGGTTCCCGCAGGGGGCGTCCCTCGGCCTCCGCCAGGAGACACTCGCGGTATAGCGGGGACTTGACGAAGCGCGCATAGCTGTCGAACTTCATCAAGTTGAAGATCTGCGGGACCCGCGCAGGGAAGGTGAGCCCGAGAGGGCGTTCGGCTTGGCCCAACCCTCGGGGTCGGCTGGGTCGCGTACCTGGCAGGCAAGACCCGAGCCCCTCCCACCCAACTCCTTGGTCCAGCCCCGCCCCCACTCTTGGCTCCGCCTCTACCTCAGCTAGTCTCCGCCTCTAGCCCATGTTCACCGCCGCCTCTGGTACCGCCCTCTGACCCACGCCCTGCCCCTGCATTTTACTTTGGTGCGGGCATCCAAATTTGCCCTTTTCCGAACCCCGCTCCCGCCCATCCCACCCACTACAATCGGGCCCCGCCCCTGGATCTGGCCCCGCCTCTTGCCCTTTCTTCCAAGGCCACGCCCCCTAATCACGCGAGACCCCCGGAAACGCTCACCTGGAGCTGCTGCGCGCGGAACATGTCCGGTCGGGGTTGTGCCAGCACCTCTTCGCCTAGCCAGGCCTGCCGGTCGATGTTCACCGGGCTCAGCGCCTGGCTGGACAGGAATTCCTGGTAGATATGGCGGGCTTCCTGAGCAAGCTGTTGCAGGAGGGACAGAGAAGGTCAAGGACATGGCCCAGGCTCTGGTCCCACCACTCTGCCCCAGCTCCCCTTTCCCCCACCTGCTGGGTGTCGCTGGCCGGGATCTGCTGAAAGCGCTCGCAGGCCTTCCAGAAAGTTACATTCTCAGCGCTGAACTCCTTCTTCAGAAACTCCTGGTGCAGAGGAGGAGGAAGTTAGAGACACGGAGACCCAGTCAGGGGGTGCAGTCAAAGAGATTGGGATAGAGATAGGGCCAAGAGGCCAAGTCAGGCAGATAGGGCCAGACAGACAGATGGGGCCAGATTGGAAGGCACAGAGAGAAAATGGAAAGTTCCCTGCTGAGGGAACAGGAAGAAGCTGCCAAGGAAAGGCTGGAGGAGGCAGCTGACAGAGGAATCCCACTCTGGCCAGCCTGAAGCTCCATGTCCTCTCCCATGCCCACTGCCCCCCCCCCCAACACACCATAGTGGTCACTGCCACCTGCCCTTCCGATCCCACCCCAAGGCTTACAGTGAAATAAGCCAGCCCCAGCGGGTCCTGCAGCAGCCGCTCGAAGGACAGACCCCAGCTGGCCACAGGCTGCTCCTCGGTGGAGAAGGGGCTGCTGGGGCCACTAGGGAGGCTGTGGATACTGAGGGAGCTTCCTCGGCCCTCGCCCTGGCCCTGAGGCCCTGCCGTGCTGCTCAGCTCTGTAGGTGGATGGACAAGTGGTGGTGAACCTTGTGGCCTTCCCCAGGCCCTGGCCCAACCCCATCTGTAGGTATTTTCCCTGGAAAGGTAGCAAGTGACAGGGGTGTCCCCACCCTGTTTCCACATACCCTCCCCCACCCCAGCAAGCCTCCTCCATACCTGCTGTCACTTACCTCCATCTGAGACAGCCAGAACCTACAAGAGACCCAAGGTAGGCAGTCAGAGCAGAGCCCAGGGTGGATTCTCAGGGTACAGTTCTGGGTTCAGGCCCCAGGACAGGAGCTGTGTTCTCCCCCTGGAGGGCCATGCTGGGCATTCCCAGCCAGGTCAGCATTTTGCTCAGGCTCCTCCTGGCTCCCCTTCCATCATGTGCCAACCACCGTGTGCTGGGACTTAACGCCAGTTACTTTCCATTTGCCCCTGGTTCCCTCCTCCCGCAGCACGTGCTGGGTAAGCGCCAGTGTACAGCATGGTGGGGATCAGCAGAGACTTTGAATCTTGTCTCTGCCATTTACTAGCTGTGTGACTCGATACTTGTTTGTCTCCATCTGCAAATAGGGGATGATGATAATAATAGTAACTTACTTCCCGGGACTGTTGTGAAGATCAAATCAGTTTAAGACATTTAAGCATCCAGAACAGTGGCCAGCATGTGGTAAATGCTGCATCAATGTTTGCTGGTGTCTATAGCCAGTGATATCTTTGTTGGAACTATTTCCTTTTGGAGAAGAAGAGCCTGAGAGACCCTGGGCCCCACCCCACCTTAGGCTGGTGCCGGGATGCTATTTTATAGTATAGACAGTCATTCTCAGACTCTAGTGTGCATTGAAATGACCAGTAGGAGCCCACCTCCAGAGATTCAGGCTCAGTAGGTCCAGAATGGGGCCGGAGACTCTCCATTTCTAACAAGCTCTCAGGCAATGCTGATGCGCTGGTCCATAGACCACACTGTGAATAGCATTGCTGTAGAGACCCACTCCGTCCTCCCCCTCCCCCCCCATCCCACACACAACTCTGACTTCTCTGGGAATCCCAACCATTAGTGAAATAGAAAAAAACCCTCCTTTCAAAATGACTCTTGCAGTGGTTTCCCTTGGTCTTCCTACCTTCCTAGCAGCTCCTCCAGCTTCCTCCTCATCTCCTACCCACGCAAGATGGCTTCTACCCCTCCCTGACTCTGTCCTGGGCCCTTTCCCCCTCCCACATCTCCCCAGATCCAAACCCACAGAGCCAACTTCCTGCTACCATCTCTGCCCAAATGTCCCACAAGCCCTTCCAACTCAGCCAGTCCCAAAGGAAGCCACCACCAAAGCAGGGCACTGAACAGGTTCCCTACATCGTTCCTGTCTTTCTTCCCGCCACCTGGGCTCAATCATCCCCAGTTCCTCCCTCTCTCTCACATCCTATATTCTCACTAGGCCTGTCACAGGAGTTTCTACCACCTGTCCCTTTGTTACATCCCCACTGGAAACAGGTCTGCAAACATCTCCCCCAGGAAGCCTCTCCTTGCCCTCCTAGCTGGAATCTCCCTCTTTGCTCCCCACTCTCACCTAGAAACACTCAGGTCCCACATCTGTGGGCCAGAGCTGGCCTGGAAATATGTAGGACATTATTAATATCTTGGCCCTTATTTTTTGTGAGTGGGTTTAACTGACTGAGCCACCCAGGAGGCCCAAGATTTTTTTTTTTTTCATTTTACGTTGAAAGGTGTTCCCACATTTAAAAATCAGGAGTTTTACATAAACTCTTGTGATGCCTCAGCTACCCGGAGCTTCTTCCCAGCATGACAACGTTGGCTGGCACTGAGCAGCAACGGCCTTCCCTGGAAGGGGCTCCCGTTCTCTTCAGGGGTCTCTGAGGCTAGTGTGATGCATTTATGTTACTTACGGAGTCAGGTGCTGCCCCGGACTGCCCAAGTTCCAATTTGTGCTGTGTGATCTTGGACAAGGCACTACACCTCTCTGTGCCTCAGTTTCTTTCTCTATAGAAATGGGGCAAATGCTTCTCCTGACTTCAAAGGGTTGCTGGGACTAAATAAGTTACATATATAGATAAGGAACCCAGAACACTGTCCGGCATGAACATTACTGTTACTGCTGTTGGCACATTAGTATTGATGTCTGACCCTGCTCCGCTTCCGAGGTTGCTAGCCCTGTTGTAGAGGAAAGAACACAGGTGTTGGGGTCTGTCAGACCCAGATTCAAATCCCAGCTCTGCCCTTTTCAGTTTTACGCCCTCGGGCTCCTCCCTGAGCCTCGTCTCCCATTTGGAGTGTGGAGGTGAAAGGTTGCTGAAGAGGAAAGAGTGTTGGCACAGAATGTGGCTGGGCGTGGAGCCCATTTGCAGGTGCCCCACTCCCACCCCCAGCACCCTCGCCCTCCTGCCTCTGCACCCCCCCCATCTGATGGCTTCTTCCCTTCTTCCGAGTCAGCTCCAGCAGCTGGCTGCCTGAGAAAGTCCCAACTCCCGGGGTGCGTGAGGAAGACAAATTGAAGCCCAGGGTCCCTTCCAGCCTGCTCCTTCCGTTCCTGGCAGCTCTGCTCATGCCGCACCTGCTTGTCCTGCCTGCTCTGAGGCTTTGCCAACCTCAGGGTGGCTGTCACCAACCTCTGCTCCGGGCTCCCGGAACCATCCTGCCTCCCGCTCCATGGTGGCCACCTGGTCCTCCGTCCCCCCTCACACACTGGCCTCTCTCCCCCCTGCCCTCCATCCCTGCACTCAGCCTCTCCCAAGCTCAGAGCCCCATGGTGGCTGGGGCAGGCACCTGCAGCTGAGGCCAGCCGACACTCCTATTCTGTTTTATTCTTGCCATTACGTTGAATTGACTGTCCGGGTCTTTAGGCTGGCTCCCAGGTGGTGGCTGTGGCCAAGCTCCCTGCCCTGGGGGCTGGAGCAGTTGCTGGGTTACAGCTGAAGCTCAGCCTGGGCCTGACTAATGAACCCCTTCATCCTCCCCCATTTCCCTCCCCCTCACTCCACCCTGCACTTTATCAAACTTTTCTAGGTGCCCCACGCCCCTTCCCACTCCTGTTTCCTGCTTTGCTGCTTTCTCTTGCTGGGTGTCTGCTCCTGCTCCCCTCACTGAACTAACTGCTCTCCAATCTCTGCTCATTGACACCAGTCCCCTCCAAAGACCAGTTGCCCTGAGCCCTCCTGCCCACCACACTTCTGCCCACCTGTGTCTAGGCCTCTCTCTCCTTACAATTTGGTAGCTCCCAGAGGGCAGGCCTGGTTTGTAGAGGGAACCAACCTGAACTCCCTCCCATGAAGCACCCTCCTTGCTCTGGTGCCAATGAGCAGCCATCAGGGCCCTAGCAGTCCTCCTCTGCCCTCCCGTGAGGCCCTGGCACCCCCTTCACCAGGGATCCTTCACCTCTGAACGCCCCATCTGTGTCTCAGTCCCTCTGGCCCCACTGGTTGTTGATCTGTAGAGTTGGGGCTGAGATGGGGTAGGGACAGAGATCCGGAGGTGGGAGGGAGTGAGGATAGGGTCCAATTTCAGTTCCACCATTCAAGGGCAAGTAACTTCCTCCCCTGGGCCTCAGTTTCCCCCCAGGGTAGAACGGGGCTCGGCATTCCCAATTTCTTGGGGCTGCTAGGAAGAGTGAGAGGGTGTGTGAAAGCAGCTGTCAAGGGCTCTGCTGACCTCATACTGATGCCCTGCCCAGGGCTCCCGCCTGCCCAGTCTCCCAGGCCTGGGGAAGTTGTGCTGAGCAGGGCTGGCCTTGCGCCACCCTGGCTTGCCTGAGAAGTGGTGAGTGAATGGGAGAAAAGGGGAAGAAAGGATGAGGAAGGGTGTGGTGGAAGGTGACACCCCTGACCCATGGTCAGGCCTCAGTTTGCCATACCTTTCTCTTAGGCCCTGGAAGAGCCACTGGTGTCTAAGGATACTGAGGTGAGAGTGGAGTGGACCAACACTTCTGAGCTCCAACTGTGTGACAGGCTCTCTCTGACAGTACACATCCACGTTCTCACTCTATCCTCAAATCTGTGTAGCAGGTGTTATTAGCCCCATTTTACAGATGAGAAAACCTAGACCCAAAGAAGACCCACAGTGTGGAAGTGGCTGAGCTGAAGTTAAAAGCCAAGTGTGCCTGACTGGAGCCTGAGGTCTTCCCTCCACGAAGCCGCCTCCCTGGGCAGACAGGAGATGTACAAGGAGAACTGGGAGGCCCAGGGCCTCAGCCCTTTGGACACAGGTGGGCAAAGTCAATCAGGGGTAAAGGGTCCAGGGGGTCCTCTTGAACTCTGCCCTCTGGAGAGGTCAGACCTCAAAGGGAGGGCCCATTTACTTAGCATCTTCTGTGCTGGGCACTCTGTACCATCATCTCCCTTCATCCTAGTTTGGGGAAACTGAGGCCCCAAGATCCTCTCTGGGTATATGCACAGAGAACCCTGGGTGCCTGGCCCCTTCAGCCTGAGTCAACCCTGTGGAGCTGAACCCTAGCCCCGAGCTGGATGCCAGGAAGATAGGCAGAGGTCTCTCCAGGTGGGAAGACTCGCTGGGCCCCCTGAGAGTGACAGGATATGACAACCACCACTCTCCAAGCTTTAGGCCCAGCTTCCCCTTAGGCCATGTCCCTGTACACACACCCTGTGTTTCCCCACATCCAGACCCTTCCCCATGCCATCCCCTCTTCCAGATGGCATATCCTTTCAAGAACTTCATAGCACAATGCACAAAATGATCCGACAAGTCAGTTCTCCCTTCCCACGTCCTCCTCAAGCTTTCTCTACCCTGGATCCATGGCTCTTACCAAATCTGAATTTTGTTGTGGTATTTGGCCCTGTGTGTTCTGTGCCTTGCCAGACCGGGAGCTGCTTTAGGGCGGGGGCTAGGGCCATGGGTTTGGGTCTCCAGTGCCTAGGACAGGGCCAGCACAGAGCAGACCTGTGGTGGGGCCGTTGACTGAATGTCTGCATGAACAAATGAAGTGGCCTTCGGGGTTATGTGAAGATGTCTTTGGGAGGGGGCTGGGAGCCATCTCTAAGTGACAGGATTCGTTGCAACTGCCTGACAAGCTGAGTGGCGGAAAGACGAGGCTGACAAATGAAGCTGCCTCAGCAGGGAATGATGGCAGCCGTGGGTGGGGGTGGTGGCAGGGGGAGGTGGGGGAAGACAGAGCCAGGCATTTCTGGGGGGTGGGGGACCACTGGCATTGATCAGAGAGGCTGGGTTCAGATGCAGGCCCCTTTACTTGCTGGCCGCCTTCAGCATGTCATTTACTCCTCTGAGCCGCCGTCGGGGGGTAACTCGTGGAAGGAGCCTGCTGCCTGCTCCACAGGTGCCTCTGTGTGCGTCCCTGCTGACACCTGTCCGCCCCTCCCCCATCAGCTGAGCACCGTCTCAGAAAGCAGACCGATGGCCAGCGAGCAGCCGAGCTGTGACCCTCAGGATTCCAAGAGGTGACATGGAGAGTTCACAACAGACCCAGGAAGGGCAAAGATAAACCTGTGTGTGAAGGTTGCTGCCAGGAACCAGGACATCTGTGAGCTGGCCAGGGCTGGGTGCAGAACTTGGGTGCCCTCCCTTCTCTGAATGACTTTGGGGTAGAGAAGCCATGGGCTGACGTGGGAGGGGCAGAGGCTGGGTCCATCTCCAGGCACCCTCAGTTGCCCTCCAGTTCTGAGCACTGCTCAGAAGCATCAACCCAGCTGCCCGCTGGGGTGGGCGTGAGAGTGGACATGCTCCTCCTTGGCCTCGACACCTGAGTGTCATGCCTCTAGAGTTGGAGTGCGAGGACCTTAGGTTCTTGAACTTTCAAAGTTAGGTTGATGGTAAAGACAGTGAGGTGGGGAACTGGGCCAGCTTGATGGGGTTTGCCTCTCTCCCACCTAACTAGCCCGGGGATGGGCAATAAAGAGACACTGGAAGGAGAGGTGGAGAAAGGTCTTGGTAATTAGGAGGCAGGAGTGTGAGTAAAACCTCAGTTTCTGAATGAGGCAGGGGATCCTTGAAGAGGGGCTGAGAATGAAGGGAGGCATTGGGCTGATATTTATGGAGCCCCCACAATGGGTCAAGGGTCTCATATTCATCATTCCACTTAATCATCTCAACAAGCCTTGGAGAACTGTTCCAATTTCCTCATTTTACAGGTGAAGAAACTGAGGGTCAGAGAGGACCCCTAGTAAGGGACAATGGAGCCAAGACTGGAACCCAGTTCTTTCTAGACCCATTGGTTTTGTCCCATAGTCCTAGGCTGGGGCTAGGTTGGAGGTTAAGACACTGTCTGGCCTTCCTGGGGTTGTTAGGAGGGGCTGGGGCTCTGCCAAGAGGGCTGGTATCCTAGGGAGAGAAGGAAGGCCCAGCACAGTCTGCCCCATCAGCTGAATGAATACAGAAGCTGGACTGTCTGAGCACAGCTCTGATTTAAAGGTGAAGTAGTGGGTGCCTGGGTGGCTCAGTTGGTTAAGCGACTGCCTTCGGCTCAGGTCATGATCCCTGAGTCCTGGGATCAAGTCCCACATCGGGCTCCCAGCTCAGCGGGGAGCCTGCTTCTCTCCCTGACCCTCTCCCCTCTCATGCTGTTTCTCTCTCGCTCGCTCTCTAATAAATAAATAAATAAAATCTTTAAAAAAAAAATAAAGGTGAAGTAGCCAGGGAGAGGGTTTAGAGGGTGTGGCAGCAGCAGGAGCCAGGGCATCTGAGCACCCAGCTACTCCCACCCTTCCTGGTGGCCCAGGAATAGAAAAGACAAGCTGCACCAAGCTGGCCTGACCCTGCTGACCCATCCCAGGCTGCCCAAAGACTACTTGTTCTGGCAGGAAGCCTCTGAGCAGGTCCAGCTGAAGGGCAGTGACCCACTGAGGGTTACCCCTTACCTGACCTTATGCATCAGGACGTGGGGTGAGGCGGGGGGAAGGCTGAGGCTAAGTCAGATGTGGAGGCCTGGGCCACTGTGGGGGTAGGCAGGGGTCAAAGGGCATGCCAGGTCTCCCTGCTGCCCTAGGATGCGGGGAGCCCTGGATGGGGCCAAAGTGGCAGGAGAGGAAGCAGTGGGGACCAGAAGCCTATGCCCACTGTACTCTGCTCTCCTCTCTGAGGCTGCCCCAGGTCCCCAGCCGGGCCATCTAGAAGGTCCTAGGACAAGAGTCCCAGGTCCCACTGCCTGCTCCTGTTCGTACCCAACTTCTCCCGCTGGCCGGCAGCATGCAGGCTCTTGCCCAGCCCTGCCGGCTGTGCCTCCTGGGCTCCACCCTGGGTGTGCCCACCCCTTCCCCATGGGCCTGGCCTGGAGCCCGCACTCACCATGCGCCCGTTGGGGACACCCAGGTGCTTGGGCTTCCCCGGCATGCCGCCGCTGTTCACGGGTCCCTGCTGCAAGGAGCGCCCACCATGGGGACCGCGGGCAGCCCCGGCCAGAGCTTGCACAGCAGCAGGCAGGCAACAGAGAGAGCCCGGCTCTGCTCCTGTGGGCCCTCACATCCTGAAACACCAGCTCACTACCTCTTTTCTCTGCCACAGGAAGTGTCTCTATAGAAACCGAACCACAGAAAGAAGCAAGGTCTAAGAGAGCGAATGCCTCTTCCTACACACACACACACACACACGCACACGCGCATGCACACACACGCACATTCACAGGCACACACACATGCCACCAGTCCACCCTTGGCAGTGCCCCACGCTGTCACCAGCACGTTGCAGAGGCCTCTGTGCGCCCAGGAAGGAGCCGAGCCTGGTCTGGCCCAGCCCAGGGAGCTCCAAGATCATGTCCGGGCACACAGAAGTGTGCGCTCACACACTTAGTCACCTTTTTGCACCCTGGCGGGGGCTCGCACAAACACACAAACATGCGCACCGAGTATGCACACGGGTACTTTACTCAGCACACGCTTATCTCACACCTGCTGTGTTTGTGCTGCGCAGGTGCACACTCAGTACCCACCCTCCAGGCAGCTGTGCACATGCAGAGTGACTACCTTCATCCCCAGACACTGCCCAGGCATGTGTCCAAGCGCACAGACAGATGGACACCTTGCATGCATGGTCATGCACACCCAAACCATTCACGTCTGCATGTTATAAACACATAGGCTCGCCCTTCATAAGAAACCCCTGGGTGTGTATATCTAGTCCCCTGGACAGGGGCCTGTGACAGGCGCAACTGCACATGGGCACGTAAGCACCCAGCCACCCCGGTGACATGTGCCCACCCCCCCAGGCAGGGGAATGCATCGGTGGCATCTATGTGTGATGCCTGGCTGTTCATTCTCACTCACACAAAAATCCTGCCTTGGTGTAGTACCATCAGCTGAAGAGTGACACCCTGCCCTCCAGCCCCGGCCCTGGGCCAGCCGAACTCGGGGCCCTTAGCCAGAGTCCTCAGTTGGCCTCTTTCTTATACAGGCACACACCTACTACAAGGACTTGCATTTTACCTTACGTTTGGGCTTAGTGCCCTCAAGTCACCCACCACTCTGGTTTGGGTCCCTCTTCAGTTTTCTACCCTCTATCCTACTGTCCCCTTCCCCGGCTGTGACTTGAACCTTTCGGTGGCAGAAACTGACTGACTCTTCACCATGAGTTCATGTCCTCTTCCTCTGGGTGCATGGTTAAACTTTAATTTCCCAGGCTCACTTGCAGTCAGGTGTGGCCTTGTGACTAGTCCCACCAAGTAAAAGTGAATGAAATGACGGGTGCCGTTTCTGAGCCAAGACTTTTATGTAGTTTGTGCCCTCCACATTGTTTCTTTCACCTTTAGCTGCCTGGATGCAGGAGATTAAGGGATTGTGGGGCCACAGGAGGAAGGAGACAGGGTCTTTGTATTAGGGCACAAAGGGAAGCCACCCATCAACCAGGAACACTAGCTTTGCTCTGTTACATGAGTGAGGAATAATCTTTGAACCGTTATACACATTTGAGTCTATTTGTGATAGCAGCTAGTGTTACCCTACTTAATATACATCTTCACCGGGCCCTGACTCCCCTCTTCCCAGACACCTTGCTCCAGGTCCCCCAGATAGAGGGATTCAGTCAGACTTGGTATGTGTATTGGGGGTTGCTTTGGGCCTGGAGCATTGTCTTAATAAGGTGCACGACAATGGCATTGTGCCTGGGAGGGGTTTCTAGGGTGCGTGATGTCAGCGGAGACTGCCTATCTGCTGTGCCATGGGTCTGGGCCTAGGTTTCATGGCGGGCTTCACCGTTTACAGGCTCTTCTCCCCACATGACTTCATTTGATCCTAACACCCTCTTTGTGAGTGGTGTTACTTCCATTTTACAGATCAGGAAACTGAGACTCAGGGAGGAGTGAGTTCCCAAAGTTATACATCAAGTTAGATACTGCTAAGTTGTGAATATGTGTGCTTGGGTGCCAGGAGCTGCACCTGGGCTGCCCACAGGCCAGGTGCCAACAGTTCATCTTTCCCCCCAAAAAGACCCTGTTACAGCCTCTGACCCTTGCTAAGGTCATCCTCTCCTCTCCTCACCTTCCCACTATGGATGCCAATTTCAGCTCTGATCACATCTTTACCCCAGGGACCCCAGCCAACCCTGGGACTTCCCATCTCTTAGTCCTTATCAAGTTTTCTCCCCTCCAGCCCTCAGAACGCTGTTCTCAACTTCTCTCTCCCTGGCTTTCCACAGGGGATCAATTACTGATATCTAGTCTCCCTGTGGGAGATCTGATCCCCCTTCCCTCTGGAGACTTCCCTGGATCAGGCCTTGCTATCTCTCATCTGGCCATAATGACATTCTATTCAGTCTCCTCACCTGGGTAGGGTAGCCCCCCTCCAATCTCTTCTCCTCAACATAGCCAGAGAAACCCATGTTGGCCACTCCCATGCTTAAAACCATCCCATTGCTTTCTGTAAAAAGGCCACGTTTCTTAGCTGGAAATTGAAGGCCCTTCAAGTTCTGGCCTCAGCTACACTCTCCCCCATCTCTCCTCAGCCATTCCGAACTGCTTTCATCCCATATGCTCTCAGGCATCCCTCTGGGCCTTTGCATCTCCTGTTCCCTCTGCTGAGAATGCCTTTCCCCTTGCTGGTAAACTCCTACTCATGCTTCATGACCCAATTCCAGGTTCTAGAACAAATATTCATATTTTTACTAATTACTTAATAATCACTTCCTTTGTGCCAAGTGTGGTTCCAGATGCTGGGGATTCAGAAGTGACAATAACTGGCAAAAATCCTAGCCTTCCTAGAGGTCTAGTGGAAGGTACATATCCTTGTTTGTATAGCTATAGATAAATCTCTGGAAGGGAATACTCTTTGGGAGGGGAGTGGCAGGGTATTATATGTCTGTACTGCATATATGAGCATATTAATAGTAAGCTAATAAAAAATATGTGATCCAGAAAAGATGTCTCAGCACTAATCTTTTTTTTTTTTTTTTTTTTTTTAAAGATTTTATTTATTTATTTGAGAGAGAGAATGAGATAGAGAGAGCATGAGACGGGGGAGGGTCAGAGGGA